AGTTATATAAAAGTATAACTTAACCAACCCTTATATATTCAGGATGTCACGCTGCCCATCTAGATTTTTCGCTACGAATAACATTTTGTCACATCATATTTTCTAGCTTAACACGTCTTTGAGATCTTTAAACTCCTTAATGATATACACTTTTCATCCTTAGTAGGTTTTTGTCACCTCTTACCATATGACTATGAGATCCCCAAATCGTCCTAGCGACCTCTTGACCTACTTGTTATGGACTCTTACCAGGTCGCAACCACGAGCTTTTGCTCTCATGACCATCGGGTCATGAGATCCCATTACCTGTCCTAGCTCATGGAGGAGCTCGACCCCTCAGTCTTCTAACCAGGTCGACTCGTTCACGACAGTTAGTTCAATGTTGTCTAGGTTGTGAACATTTTATCTTTTACAAGACACCAATAATATGATTTTGTTGTTCGACACATCGAACCATATATGGACAATGTAAAATAAAGGAACCATGCTCGCAAAAATAAACTGATTCAAAATAAAATTGTTCGTAACAGAAAGTCAAGTTTCTACAGTATACGATAACATGTGGTTAGGTCGAGCGAAAATGCCGTAATATTTATGAATTAACTGACTTTTTTTACACAATTTTTTCTTTACTAGTACAATAGTATTTATTTTGTAAAACGAGTCTTGTTTACCTGAATTTGGGGATTTTCGTATCTATCTGTGCGAATAATGCACGCTTTTTAGCATTTAATTTTGCATACCAAGTGTATGTGTGTGTAAATAAAAAGATAAAAGCTTCTACTGTTTGTGTGTAAATGAAGGGCCAAGGGCGCGTTTGACTACAAAAATTTATCGGTTTTGATTGATCGAAATTTTTTTTTTTTATATATATACTTTTGAACTTAAAATCCAACACAACTCTCTTTAATATTATCAATATAGTTAGACAATACTCATCAATCGTTATTGATACTCAAATTGCCTTCAAATCGGGTTAAATTAACACCAACACGAACGGTCCTTCACCTTTGAGCTCTGGTGACTGACAATACGCTGGAGATAGGTCCCAGGGAATTCCTTTATTATAGGGAATGTTTAGCCCCTCAATCCGGGTGAAGGAAGAGCGGGGTCGGTTGGACCAGGTGGAAAAAGTCATAACTCGCTCGTGAGAAGATTAAAAAATTGTATGATACAAGCATAATATGTATTATATAAAAGTAAAATTTGACCACTCCTTATATACCTAGGGGGTCATGATGCCCACATAAAGACCTTGCATGGAAAGAAATTTTGTCATATTATCTTTCCTAGCGTAGCATGTATGAGACGTTTATAGATTGCTTAGCGAGATATATTCTTCATCCTTAGCAAGATTCTATCCCCTCTTACCATACAACTCTTAGGTCCTCAGATCGTCCTAGCGAACTCATGACCTACCTGCCATGGACTCTTAAAGGTCGCAACCACGACCTTTTGCTCTCACGACCGGTAAAAATTCAATTTTGGTCCTCTAACTTGTCCATTGTCCACTTTTGGTCCGCTAACTTGTCCCTCATCAAAATTTGTCCATTATGTTACATTTTTCATCAGTTTTAATACACTAATCCAGTTGGCGGGATTACGAGATGATGTGGACCGGGATTGGAACTACGTGGAGGGATAAGATGTTGACGTGGTAGGATAAAAAACTGATTTGGCATCTCGTAATCATGGGCCACGGGATTAGCGTACTAAAACTGATGAAATGTGTAACATAATGGACCTTTTTTGATGAGGGACAAGTTAGTGTACCAAAAGTGGACAATGGACAACTTAGCGGACCAAAATTGGATTTTTGCCTCTCACGACCTTCGAGTCATGAGGTCCCCTTACCTATTCGAGCTCACAGAAGAGCTCGAGCCCTCAGTCTTGTAACAAGACCGTCCCACACTCTGGGTTGCCTAATTGAGCTCCTTGATGAGGTAAGATGCCGATACCAAGCTAAAGCTCCCTTGAATCGGCCATTCCCAAGCTAAGCACTCAGGCCGGTTCACCGAGCTATTCTGGGCGCTATATTAATTTTCACACATCATATAAAATTTAATTCACTACATCTATTTACATATTTTTTTAACACATATCATGTTTTATAAAATCTCTCTTACTTTTGCATCACATCAATTTTAATTATTACATTTTAAATATTACAAACTCAAAATCTCCAACTTAATCCTTTACTCAATCAATTTTATTCAAAATTAACTAATGTTAACAAATGAATCAAATCAAAAGCTATTTTATTTATCAAGTTTTTGCACTTAAACTCCCAAGCCACTATTTATTTTCCTGTTTAGTCCCCAACCAAAAAAAAAAAAATCTCCGGACAACCTACTCACACAAAATTATTCCACTTAACTCTATAACAATTACAACACTACAAAAATTATCCAGTCAACGTCAAAACGATTTGATATTTATTGTCTTATTATTTGCAATTCTCACCATAATTGGTTTGTCTAATTTCTTCTAATATTTTCTTAGTAATATAGACTCTTGTGCTAAACATATTGTTGCACATGTGTCTATATATGCTAATAAAGTTTTGATAACTTTTATGAACTCATCTTCTGATTTTGATGACTCTAAATCACTATTTGTTTTTTATTCTAGATCATATATATCTAAGTCTAATAGTTCACCTTCTTTGTATTCTTCTTTTATAAGTTCATAACCTAAAAAAAAAAAAAAAATCATTTTTACCTTCTTTTCTTTTTCTGGTATATTTTTAGGACATTCATTTGCGTAGTGTCCTATTTCTTGGCATTTCCAACATCTGCAATTTTTTTTTCCGTTAGGACAGAATTTGGATTTTCCTGAGTATTTTCTTTTTTTTTTTTTATAAATTTTCCTCTATATTTTGGTTTCAATTGTTTTCTAAATGTCTTATATCTGCTTGATCTATATCGTTTATTAAACTTATTGTATTTATGATATATTTGTTTTTCTATATGGTTCATAACAACCATTTTTTTGTGGTACACTTTCTATTAGTTTACAACATCTTGAATATGACTTTAGTCATTTCATGGTGTTCTAATTTCCTTATACAAAGTTCATCTCTATATTCCTTCGAATTTGTCTAAACTCTTAAACAAAGTTCATCTCTATATTCCTTCGAATTTGTCTAAACTCTTAAAGTCTTTTCTTCTCTTGTTTCACTTATTTTCTTCTAAATATATTTACTCATTTCACTTATTTTCTTCTAAATATGTAACATGTTGTTGACGATATTTTTCGTTAGCCTTTCCCCGGTAGGTTCTTGCCTTGCCGGAGTGCCGACCCCCGGTGAGCCATTGCACCGGGGAGTCCACAGAATGCCACAAGATGGGTTTTCACCCTAGGGCAAGAGCACTATGGAAGGTCATGAGTCCCCGGTGCATGGCCAATGGCTCACCGGGGGTCCGAGCCCTCAAAGTGGGGAAGCCTGGCGGTTATAACCGTCAACACATGCGTTGCATAGCTTTATGTTAGTTAGAAATCTAACTACCTTATTTTTTTATGTTTCTTTTGACTCTTATCTTGTAATTCCTAAATATTCTCTTAATGGATCTTTTGCTAATTCTTTTAAAACTGTGGCTTCAAAATTTAATGGGATTCGAGTATTTTCTAGATAGTCAAATAATACTCATGATGTTTTATATCTTATTAATTGAGAAAATCTGTTAATGTCATTCTATTTATCATTGAATCATTAGTTTGAACTAATAATTTTAATTGGTTGGTCCAAGTGACTATTGAATCATCTGCATTGGTTTCACAATCTATATTTAATATTTAATGAGATGATTTATTTCTTTTTCTAAATATGTTGATGGTGTATTTTTCTTAATTTTTTTCTTGATGATAGCTATAATCGTCTCTATATATAAAATCTCTAAAACTTCTTTCTGCATAATTATTCTGCGAGCTAAATGGTTCATATTATTGGTTCTAGGTCTTTTTGGTGATAATTGTGGTGTTGTATGAGGTTTATGATTAATCATATTAAATGTAGGTTCATCTTCATCTTCACTATCTATTCTATTGATTATTCTTTGTTTATCCACATCATCTATTTTTGTCATTATAGTTTCTATAATGTTACATTTTTCTAATAACTAGGTTAATCTATCTATATCATCCATTAGAACTTGTTGTCGGTTCTATCTAAATCGTTTTTAAATCGTTTTAAATATTGTTTTTCTGTGTTTTCTCTTTCTGTGCTATTCTTATAATTCTTTTATTGGTTCTTTTATTTATTCCAATTTTTTCTAATGTTTCTAATTAGATTTTCTTTATTATTTCTACAAGTGTTCCTATTTGTTACGACACATTTGGTTGACCATTCATAATTTTTTAAGCATTTTTTGAGCTTTAATTGTAGCAATTAATGGTGTCCTAATGTAAGAATTTAATTGAAGGGTGGCCACCCGTGAGGGTGGCATGAACAATTCCTATAGACCTCTTAAAATGATCTCTTTTCCTATATATGTTTTCTGTCGGCAGTTTGCTTTGGTGGTTAAGAAATATAAGAATTCTGCCATTTATTGTAAAAGCCTTGAAGCACAGAACATGTTTTTGGGACTGAGATATTATCTAAGACAGAGTTCTGTTGTTGAGAAACTTTTACGCTGCTAAAGAGGGTTTAATGCACGAACACAATAAGTGGATTGAAGAACAAAAGAATGGCGACATGGTTCTTCCTGGACACGGTGATTTCTTCAATTTCAAAATCTTAACCACAGAAAATCAAGCAAATTACAATATATTAATTGAAGGCAATCCGAACCGAAGACAATGCGTGTGTGACTCGCTTCCACAATGTGCTCCATCAGGAAGCAATTTTGGGTTCACAAAAGCGAAGACTTTAAAACTTGCACGTTAAAACACCCAGAGAAAAAGTATTATGAATAATATCTAACCACAATGGGATTCAGTCCAACAACTTTCCTCAAATCCAGCTGTAAGTTTTACCCGCGAGTGGATCAGAACACAGGAGTCTAGTAAGATTTTCCACAATGTATCAAACTTCCAGCTCCAAGGAAAAGCCCAAATACGGCAGCACTACCTAACGTCGTCTGCCCAATATATCGCACTTTTAAAAGGCCCGGAACCTGCATTCCGCAAATGCCTAAATTTTCAGCTCAAAAAGGCTCAAAACGAAAGTACATGACACAGTGAGCAATTTGAACCATTCTTAGAAAAATAACAGGCCTTCACAGCAAGGCAAGTCGAGCGTTAAATAAAAAAGGAATGCATTTTGTATTCAATCGTGAAACACTGAAATGTAAGCACAGTTCTTAATCTTTGTAAGAATTATAATCCTCTATTTCTTTTACATTATGCAATTTGAGAACCTATCGCAAGAGGGATACAATAGATAGTAGATAATAGTCCTATTGAGGAGTACTCTTATTTTCGAACTGAAAGAAATTATCCAATAGACACTAGTCATACAATAACACCCGACACTACTGAAATCATAACGAATGTTAACCCTGAAATACCTACTAATCATGCTAATAACAAGAAGATAAACAGTTGAACTGAATATAGCGGTTTTCAGATATACATACAAATATGCAGTACACTTTGCTGTCAATAAAATGTGTCACTGGCAATCTTAGCTACAAATAAAGCAACAGGAGTCAGGCCAGAAACCAACGTTCAGACGCATCACACAGAATGATTTAGTTCGTTCAAAATGAAAACAGGATCAAGAGCAGTTGAAAGGCACTGCAAAATCTTTACCTTGTATCTTACAGCCTCATAAGTTCCATAAACCGCGCCTGCCCATGAAAGCTCATATTAACAATCCAGAACAGGTACTCATTCGAATTACTCAAAACAGCATACAAAACGAACCATGAGAACGAAAAAATAAAACAGCTAACACAATAACAACAAAACTTCCTTTCCGACGAAAAGACCACCCTTTTTTTAAAAGGCAGGAAGGAAGAATTAGTCCATTTTTCATTTTTTTCAGCTGGGAAATTCGGAACAAGTTCGGCATACATACAGACCAGCATATGGAAGCATTGCACGAAAAATTTACGTCTTAGTTTACGCAATCGAAAAATGACAATATCGTTTGACGTAAATGATGCAATTACAAAGCAATAGAAACAAGATGAAACTGGAAACATTGGGTTGGGAATTTTCTTCCTCAGCGAGAAATTGACATTGAGGCAGAACAAGTTAAATTATACCCGCACACTATCAGAAGATCATTTCAAAATGTACCCAAGTTGCATATGTTAAAGATAAGATTTTTCAGGCTCAAAATAAATGAACAAATCAAGAAAAGCTGAATCTTTCAGCTGGGGTTTATATATTATACAGCATAAAGGGATAAAACCTGTAACTAGGGTTTGAGGAGATTTGAGAAACATTACCCACAGCACCGCCGATTGCGCCGCCGACGGCGAAGCCCGCCGTAATACGTGCTAGACAACTATCCCTCGCCATATCTCCTCGATCCTTACTGTTTGTTGCCCAATTTTATATACCTACGATGATCAAAACTTGTGAAAAAAAAGAAACAGAAAATGTCGAATAAGGCAATTTCTTAGGCGAAAAGAAAATCCCTCTATATATATATATATACTTTTTCCAAACTTAAAAATCGATTTTTGTTGTCTGCTAATTTATGCTTTGTAATAATTAATATAAGTTTGAATTTTTATCAAGAACTTTAAATTTATAACATATACATTTTAAAAGTTAATATTTGTTATCATTTTTTTATGTCGTATATTAAATTAATCATCTTTTAATGAGCTTTGTTTTGACATCATATAGAGTGCAACACTTGTGTACTACATAGATGCTAACAAAATATTTATATCTGAATTTGAAAAAAAATAAATAGAGTAGAAGTTTTGTGTTAATTTAATATAAAAAAAAAATACTTTATTATTATTGTTTCTATCTATATTTAAATGAAATTTGTTATCCCTTCTATATTATAGTATTTTTAATCGGCATTATATAATGGGCTTAATAGATAAATTTATTCAGTTGATAATTAATTATATTATTTTCTAGTTAATATTGATAGATAACTTAAAATTTTAAGTAAATATATATATTTATTTATTTATGAAATATGGATATCAAATTGAAACTTGTACAATGATAACAAAGGTTTTGATTATTGTATGGTTCAAGTTGCTAAAAAACTAACATGATAACAAGTTTTAATCAAAACTTGCAAAACTAATATGATAACAAAAGGTATCATAACTTGTTATCCAAAACTTGTTTAGACAACAAGTTTTGATTAAAACTTTTTTGTGAAAATATGAGAACAGACACGAACGTTATTCCCATAAACAAGAGTTTTGTTATCATATTAGCTAAAACAATTGTTATGGTAACAATTTAATATCAAAACTAATACTTAAGACAATTTTAGTAGCTATAAACGTTGACATATTTTTGAAAAAAGTTATGATGAAAACTTGAAAGGAAAAAAAAAAATGGATACGAAAATTGATTTTCTACCAATAAAACAATCCATTTTTTAGTAAATAATTAATAGGCTGGTATGATATATCATATAAATAAAATTATTAATGTCATTTATGTAATCATAGAATATGGTATGATTTACTTGCTGTATATAGAAGGTTGACTTCACTATAGAGTCAAATGTTGACTTCATAACAAGACCGTCTTAATCATAATTAAAAATAATAGCCAATTTGTTTTACAAATGACATTATACATAACTAGGACAATACCCGTGTATTACACGGGTGCTTGTTAAAAAATTATTCTTAAATTTTAAAATTAATGAGAAAATTATATTAAATTTAGTTTACTTTTTTACAAAAAAAAAATATATTACTATATATTTTAGAATGATATGTGTTACTTATGAATTACATGTGTTATATTATATTAGTTTTTATAACTTATATCATATAACTACTTGAAATATAAATATATTAGTTGATAAATAATTTTATTTTTCTAATTAATATTAAAAATAATTTTATTATTGTTATAAAGATAAATATGAATTATTTTTTTATACATACAATATGAATGTTAAATCGAAACTTATCAAAAGAAGATTAATTTGATATATTACATATGTAAAACAGATAAAAAATACAAAAGTTATTAACTTTTAAAATATATATACAATTCAATAGTTTAAGGAATGATATTAAAATACAATTAATACATGTAACATGACCATAAATAATCATCATATTTATGGTAATCCGAACCTAATTATTTTTGGTTTGGAATTAAATTAAAATTTACCCAAGCCTAATAACGAAGCATGTAATTTTGCTACATAAGATTCCGAAACACCAGAAGCAGCCACGTAGGCTCAACGCATTCTGTATTAATATATAGGGGGATTACACCCATCATTGCTCAGACGCTGCTAACCTAAACCTTGTTATAAACCCAGCTTTTACTAGGAATTTTAAAGCTATAAACATATTGATAGGATAACAAATTAACAAAACCTGAAACCTTAAGTGATTTCTACTCTTAAAATTTCCTTTCAAATCATGTTCTTAAAATTTCCTTATCTAGAGCCATACCTACGCTCGCTTACGAGCAACTTTTCAAGCTTAATATCCATTTACTATTACTTAAACCAAACTGAACACAACATCACGAATGAAACACATGACTTTTCACTCTACATGTATCGAAAGCTATAGGCACGTAAGCACACATACAGAAATCATATAAGGAGAGAACCTAGTCACGGTTTACAGGAGGAAAGGAATTAACGCTTAGCCAATTGATGCAGAAATGTACATGGAAATATAGAACTTTCGTATATACGACCTAGAAATTTTACTATGATTTCTATAGATAAAGATCTGGAAGCAAAGGGGTTCTATATAAAACTCGAACAGATTTTTTATTTGCGTTTGATCACTTCTTGCGGGCTGATATTGCTGCTGCAATGCCGCCAGCCACTAGCCCAACCGCGGTTGCAGCAATGCCGATGCCAATAACTCCATCTTTTTTTTTTAAAAAAAAAAGGAAAATGAAAAATGAAAAAGATTGGCCAAATAATTCAATGTAAAAGGCAAGTTAAAATAAGAAATGGAAAATTATTTTTTGGAACATGTGATCTGCATGTTTTGGCTTCTGCAACCTAAACCATTTTTTTGGTGAATGTGATTTATGGTAAACGAAATTTATGTGTTGCAACCTCTGATTGGAAAACGCTTAAAAATTTTGCAGGAAAATGAATGAGCGAATGAGAAATTGGCGAAAGTACATTGAGAGGTGGAAATAAAGGTCATGTTCAATTTTTCGAGAAGATTTGCAGACAAAAAGTACAAGGAAAAACGACAAATATTGTGGTGGTGGTCCAACTTAAGGACCTGTTTGGCGAGGCTATGACTTTTGTATACGATGGAGAATAAGTAGAGATGTATGGTCTGTTTGTGATTCCAGTAACGACAATGGTAGGTATTGGAATCAGCTGTGCCGACGATTTAAATTATTCATTTTTTTTCCAGCATTTTCCAACCCA